GACCTCCTGAGGTCTCTTCCCACACAACTTTTCTTTGGTTCATTATCCAACCCTTTCACTTTGCCTGTGGAGAATGTGGGAATTGAAGTGTAGTCTTATGGAAAAAAATATGCATAACTCTGCTTCCCTGTCCCAGAGAAAGAACAAATGACTGTTTTGAAGTAAGATAGATCTGTCTAGGTTGGCATGGAGACACTATCAAGGATAGTCCATGTGTAGGAGTGGAGCGCGCTGGAGAGACAATGGAAGTATTTCTTCACACAATGCCCAGTCAACCTGTGGAACTCCTTGCCAGAGGATGGTGTGAAGGTCAAGACTATAACAGGGTTCAAAAAAGAACTAGATACGTTCATGGAGGATAGGTCCATCAATGGCTACTAGCTAGGATGGGCAGGGATGGTGTCCCTAGCCTCTGTTTGCCAGAAGCTGGGAATGGGAGACAGGGAATGGATCACTTATAGTGACTATGATCCGAACATGGTAACGTGATGCTGCAACTTGGGACAAAGGGACTAGGTTACGAACCACCTGGGCTTTCAGTTGGCTGCTTCCCAAGGCAGAGAGATTCAGACAGGGAAACAGAGAAAGAGAGGGACTCAGGCCATGTCTTCACGAGCACTTATGTCAACGAAACTTGTCGCTCACGGGGTGTGAAAAAAACCACCCCCTCCCCAAGCGACAGACATTTGGTCGGCAGAAGTGGGAGACGCTCTCCCACTGACATAGCCAGTGCCGCTCGTTGAGCTGGTTTTATTACGCCGGCGGGAGTGCTCTCTCCTGTCGGCGTAACACGGCTACACGAGCGGTCTTACAGCGGTCCAGTTGTGCCTCTGTACGCTCATAAGCATAGACGTGACAAAGTGGGAATGTTCTTAATGTTTTCTCTGAATACTGTGTGGGTGCCTCAGTTTCCCCTATGCAGTTCTTAAGTATCTAGGTGGGGGGATAAGGGGGTGTGATTGTTGCAGAGCCCGAGAGGGCCAGCGTGATGGTGTCTGCACAGAGAATGGCTGACACCCTGTCCCCTGGCCTGGGGCCCTCCCCTGAAAGGTGCCAACTGAAGGTGTTGGAGAACAAAGAGATCAGGTGGCCTCCTGGCCCAGGAAAGAGACAAAGGCCAGAGGAGGGGCTGGAGGGGGTTGCAGTTTAGAGCTGGCTGGGGACACAGGGGGAGGCCCAGAACCCAGGTCTGGCCTCCCCACCCCGCAAGAGGGACCTGATGGAGGAGTCCTGTTTTCCATACCTACAAGCTCTGTTTTGACTGTGTCCTGTCAGCTAATAAACCTTCTGTGTCACTGGCTGGCTGAGAGTCACGGGGAATCGCAGGAAGTGGGGGGTGCAGGGCCCTGACTCCCCCACACTCCGTGACAGTAGACATGGCCTAAGTTGAGGGGGCTTTGGGAAAAGCTGGGCATATGCTTCACTACATGAACTTTGAGTGAAATTTCGTTTTACCGGACTAACCTAATAACCCTTAAATACTGTATTCTGGTTGTCGACCTCCGCTCCACCAGCCACAGCCCCCAAGACCACCCCCTCCCACCTCACCATAACATCCCCCACAGCTCTCCCACGCTCCCCACTGACCCTGTAGATCCCACACCAACAGCCTGAGATGCTTTCTCTTTGCTGGCACTTCCCTGCGTTTTCTTTATAGTCTCTCCACCAGACTCACCCTCCCAGTTCCCTGCAGCCACGCCATCTGCTCTCGTCCTCGGCCCTTTCACCATCTTGAGATCATACTTCTTCCCGGGGTCTGCTAGCCACCCCCTGGCCGTTCCTCACAACTGCTTTCTGTTGTCAGATGCCACCGGTGTGGTGCTCTGCTCTGTCCGATGTTGAGAACATTCGGCTGCGTGTGTGTGTTCCCTCTGTGTGCTGCCCCGGCCCTGCAGATCGCTGGCACAGCAGACCCCGAGAGAAGCCCCAATGACCACAGGCTCTGATAAGGAACGAAGGCACCCAGCCGTTGTCAAACGAAGCACAGTAATAGTTCCCCACAGACTCTACAGGACATACTACGAATTTGTGCCCCCTGACAATGGACCTGCTCAGTCAGTGGCGGGACTCTCCACTGCCCCCTCAGCCGGACAAAGACGTCCACTCAGTGATGCATTTTTATACACCGGTACAAACAGGTTACACATCACTCCTGACGCATTGAGGTACAGCCCCTCTACGCATTAGGGTGATGCCTCTCCCCTGATACAGGTTGGTTCGAACAAACAAGTCTATCCATCATATTGTCCTTTTGACCCTGTCTTTAGGATGGGTCTGCCTGTTCGTTGTTATCGCTCTGGAATGTGTTTGTACCGGGATGTTCTGGTACCGTCCTGGCACAAGTTCATCTTATTAGTGCTTATACATGCTTTAAGCAGCCGCCTTCTTGCCAGCTTCTGTGGGCAGGGCCTGCCTCTGGCTCACAGCCTACCTTTGCTTTATATTAGCAGTGTCTTGACTGTTACTTTAGTTCAGGCCTCAGGCCTCATACCAGGCCTCTGATACAAGCAGGGTAACCAGACAGCAAGTGTAAAAAATCGGGACAGGTAATAGGACCCTATATAAGAAAAAGCCCCCAAAATCAAGACTGTCCCTGTAAAATTGGGACATCTGGTCACCTTAGATACAAGGCTTATGTTTCAAGGCCTCGTCTTACTCCACTTTCTAATGACCCTCTCGGCGAATGAGATCATGAGCTCCTTAGCTCATCAACCTGCCCCACAGTCTGAGTGGGTAATTAAAAACTCCACTCCTTGGTCTACTTCAGGCTTCTGCGATCAGGTCACCTATTAGCGCTCTGTGTTTCGTCACTGAGAAAACACAAAGAGCAGGTGCTCGTGGCGAGTCCCAGGAGGTGGGGAGGCCTGAGAGTGGTGAGAGGAAGGGAAGTGGGGGTCCTAGTTCTGGTTTCACCTCCGTCTGTTCCAATGTCTCTGAGTGGCCCCCCATCTCCCCATCACGCGCCAGGCCTCCTCCGGGAATGAAATTCTGCAAGTTTCCAGCTCCTCGACTGGCCTCTGGACTAAATACCCTGTGTATCGATTGTGCTTACCCAGACAGCTCAGGCTGAGTGCAAATACCCACAGTTCTTCCCTTCGGGTGTCCGGGATCAGTGGTGCATGGTGACAAACAGAGTAATGTTTATTCTGCAGTGGGGAAAAAAGGATAAGAGGGAAAAAAGGATTTTTAAAATAGCCATCTTCACACCTGCCTTTCTTATCCGGAGGCCTGCCATCCCCTGATGGTCAGCGAGGCAGGCCTGACTTCTTCAAACATCTCAATGGGGTCCCCCATCTGTCTTTTCCCCCCCAAACAATTACCTGAACTGCCTTCCTCATCCTGAAAAGGAATCACTTTTTAAACTGCTCAAGTCCTTTTTAGGGTGACCAGATGTCCCGATTTTATAGGGACAGTCCCGATTTTTGGGTTTTTTTCTTATATAGGCTCCTATTACCCCCCACCCCCGTCCCAATTTTTCACATATGCTGTCTGGTCACCCTAGTCCTTTTGATCTTCTGGGTCCCAGGCCTTGGCCCGGTTCATCAAAACCCTTTCTGTAAGCTGACTGGTGCAAGGTGGCAAAATACACTATCAGGTGAGGCATCATCTCTTCACAGCCCTTAGGTGTTTACCAAGAGGTGGCTTCCTGCTTGTTTTTTTACAACCCCCTAAACCAACATATTCATGAATGTGTTTTTCTATGGAGCAGGAGGTAGCCCTTCCCTCTGAGAAGATGTATGTGTGGGGGAGGTAGTGATATCTGGAGGAGAAGACTGGGGATGGTTGAGGGATAGATGAAGCCATATGATTGAGGGACAGATGGAGAGAAACAGAGAGCCTGTGAGTAAACTGAGAGAAACAGGGAGAGGGAAGAAGGCCAGCTAGAGGGAAACTGGGACAGAGAAATTCCAAGAGTAAGTGGAGAGACTGAAATGGAGCAGGACAGACAGACATGCAGCGAAAAGTCCTTTTAGTTTAAAGCTGGCTCGTCAAGTCAGTCCATGTTTGATAGCCGTCTTCCTGAGCATCCATTCCTGTCTATTCCTGACCGTCGGTTCCGGTTGTCTCTTATCACTGATTCGCATGGTCCCAGAGAGCCTGAACAGGACTGCCAATGGGTCTGGTCTAACGTTCACCCCGATGACCAAGCGTCACTGGAGTTGAGTCTATCTCTTCAGGAAGTCACGAGGGGCACTCGAGGCTCAAAGACTGACTTGGGCGTTACACCGCACCCAGTGAGATATTTGGGGAAAAGAGGAACCTATGAGATAATCGCCTGTGCATACCGAGATAGATATATTTCTTTATTTGGAGGGTTATAGTTAAGTACACTCAGTAGTAAGTTTTATAGGGTGTATTATATGTATATATGTACCTTTTTTATTCTATATATTCATCTATTTAATGTAATTGTAGAATCAAGTTCCATTTATTCTAGTTTCGATAAAATCCCCATTATGTTGTTTTGGACAATGAGTTGTATTATTTCAGCTACCCTTAAATAACCTTTTATCCCTGTGTAACACATCCCTTCGAACCATGATATTCTATGATTCTAAGGTCAGGCTTGACAAAGCCCTGGCTGGGATGATTTAGTTGGGGTTGGTCCTGCTTTGAGCAGGGGGTTGGACTAGATGACCTCCTGAGGTCCCTTCCAACCCTGATACTCTGAGTCTATGACCCTTGGATATATTTTAAATTACAACCCGATAACCCTACTCGGAGAGCTCTGTTTACATTGACATGCCTAGTTTAAATACCTGTTAGTCATAGACTTCAAAGCACAAATGTTGCGAGTATGTATAATTTCACTATAGTACGTATAGTTTGCAATACTATTATTGGTTAGTGCGTTGGTCATTTTCAAATGATACCCCACAAGGCATATTGTCTGCCAAAAAAATCATGGCAGTCGTGTATAGGGTGTGAAGAGCCGGGTGCTTAGGGTCATCCTCTCCCCTTTTCCATTCCTGTTTCTGAGGTTTCTCTCTCTGTCCCAGCAGGTGATGGGATGGTGAGTAAGAATGAGGAGCAGAACCCTCAGCAGGAAGATGCTGAGCACGTGGAAGCATATGGGGCGTTATCGCAAAGATCTGAAGGGAATGTGTCCATGAGTTGTGGGCAGGGAAAAGGTTGTGAGACTCAGCACAGGCCAGAAAGGGAGCAGGGAACTGAGCCAAGGGAGAAAGAGGGTAATTGTCAGGGAAGTCACAAGGAAACCACAGCCCAGCAGAGCATCCCCACAAGTGAGAGAGACCACACACGCCCTGAGTGGGGAGAAAACGTCGGTAGCCCTTCGGCTCTTCTTCGACACGAGAGAATCTGCACCAGAGAGCCACCCCACCAATGCGGTGAGTGCGGGAAAACCTTCCATCGGAACGCGCACCTGATTCGCCATCAGAGAGTGCACACGGGAAACCGACCCTTTAAATGCTTGGAATGTGGGAAAAGCTTCAGCGTGAGCTCCAACCTGATCGCCCACCAGACCATCCACACGGGCAATCGGCCCTTTTCGTGCTCCGAGTGTGGGAAGAGCTTCAACAGACGCTCAAACCTTATTACGCACTGGAGAATTCACATGGGAAAGAAGCCTTTTACATGCTCGGAATGTGGGAAAAGCTTCACGGACAGCTCCAACCTTATCAGGCACCAGAGAACCCACACGGGGGAGAGACCCTATGAATGCTGCGAGTGCGGGAAAAGCTTCACTGACAGCTCCGATCTTATCCGGCACCAGCGAACCCACACAGGGGAGCGACCCTATGAATGCTGCGAGTGCGGGAAAAGCTTCAGTCGGAGCTCCACCCTTATTCGGCATCAGAGGATCCACACGGGAGAGACGCCCTATAAGTGCTGCGAATGCGGGAAAAGCTTCAGCGTGAGCTCAAACCTTATTACACATTGGCGAATTCACACGGGGCATCGGCCCTTTACCTGTTCCGACTGCGGGAAAAGTTTCACTGACAGTTCCAACCTTACTCAGCATCAGAGAATACACATGGGAGAGAACCCCTATAGATGCGCCGAGTGCGGGAAAAGCTTCACTCAGAGCTCGGCCCTTATTGCGCATCAGAGGATCCACACGGGAGAGCGCCCCTACGAATGCTGCGAGTGTGGGAAAACCTTCAGTGTTAGCTCAGCCCTTGTCGCGCATCAGAGACTCCACACGGGGGAGAGACCCTATAAATGCTCGGAGTGCGGGAAAAGCTTCAGTGTGAGCTCAACCCTCATCATACATCAGAGAATCCACACAGGGGAAAGGCCCTATCGATGCTCGGAGTGTGGGAAAAGCTTTAATCAGAGCTCACACCTGGTTAGACACCAGAGTCTCCACAGGGGAGATAAGCACCATAAAAACCTTGTCTAAGGCTGTCCAAAAAAAAAAAAAGGTTTTTAATACTTTTCTAATTCCCACATAGTGACCTTTAAGGCTCTTTGCGGTGTTTGCATCACTGTGGTCCCGCAGCTCCCCCCAGAAGAGTAACACACTGTTGGAGTGAATCCCTTGGTCCTTTCTATCCGCTCCTTCATCCTCAGTCATGAGAATGTATGTCCCTCCTACCGGGAATGTCCATCAGCCCCAGGTAGGGGAGATGGGATGCCATCATCTTATAGAATCATAGAATATTAGGATTGGAAGAGAACTCAGGAGAAATTGGAGAGGGTCCAGAGAAGAGCAACAAGAATGATTAAAGGTCTTGAGAACATGACCTATGAAGGAAGGCTGAAAAATTGGGTTTGTTTAGTTTGGAAAAGAGGAGACTGAGAGGGGACATGATAGCAGTTTTCAGGTATCTAAAAGGGTGTCATAAGGAGGAGGGAGAAAACTTGTTCACCTTAGCCTCTAAGGATAGAACAAGAAGCAATGGGCTTAAACTGCAACAAGGGAGGTTTAGGTTGGACATTAGGAAAAAGTTCCTAACTGGTAGGGTGGTTAAACATTGGAATAAATTGCCTAGGGAGGTTGTGGAATCTTCATCTCTTGAGATATTTAAGAGTAGGTTAGATAAATGTCTATCCGGGATGGTCTAGACAGTATTTGGTCCTGCCATGAGGGCAGGGGACTGGACTCAATGACCTCTTGAGGTCCCTTCCAGTCCTAGAATCTATTAATCTAGTCCAACCCCCTGCTCAAAGCAGGACCAACCCCAACTAAATCATTCCAGGCAGGGCTTTGTCAAGCTGGGCCTTAAAAACCTCTAAGGAAGGAGATTCCACCACCTCCCTAGGGAACCCATTCCAGTGCTTCACCACCCTCCTAGTGAAATAGTGTTTCCTAATATCCAACCCTGACCTCCCCCATTGCAACTTTGCTTGCTACATTGAAGTAAAATCTACCTGGGCCTTGGCTCCTCTGGGATTTTCCCAGGGGTTAGCTAGCTTGAGGTAGCTATCCTCATGTAAAAAGACAACTATATTTGCAGTGCTGACGTAGGCCAGGTATAATGGTCAGGGTTAACTAAGATATTTCCCCTTGACCTGTCCTAATCTACACCACCTTCTAGTCTAGACAAAACTCTGAGCATCACATTTCGACTTTTACTCCCATTAGCAGAGCAATTGGTAGAGTCACCGAGTTCCCCCTTTGGTGACCGATTGTCTCATTCCCGGTTGCCCTGGGTTGTATTGAACAGCAACTCTTGTTCCTACCATTTTTCTCATTTAAACATACACTTAAATATAACAAAGATCTGGAGCAGGGAGAGGATTAAAGTGTAATTTCAGCTGCCATGACACCGGAAGGGTATAGAGTGTGCTTGATGGATACCCTCCTTTTCCATTACCGTTCAATCCCCCCTCAACCCAGCAGTTAGCTTCTGTGTGAACCACAATGGAGCGTAACCTCCCCACATTTTACCCTTCCACCTGCCAAAGAGTCATGTGACACAGTCTTCTCGGTTCTCCATGCTGAGGAATCACAATTCGATCTTAAACCAGACTCACTAGGGCTGGAGATGAAAGTGTCAGAGACCCGGAGGGGGGATTGAATGGATCACAAAACCGCAGAGTGATGGGTTTTCATCCCTCTATCTCCTGGCAAAGCTTTTTCTGGGCTGTTTCCAGATGAGAAGACTGGATGTTCTAGTGTCCTCGAAACGGGGAAAATGTTTTGTAAATAACTTGACTCAGTAATAATGAAGTGGGGCTGCCTGAAGCAGGTTTGAATGGATCAGAGGAGACTGCAGTGTGGGAATCTGTTTTCCTGATTTTTGAGTTCGCAGCTGTAACCTGCTTTGGAATTTCATTTTACATGAAACTGAAAGTGTCTGTGATGTGGATTTTTCTCTCTTGCCTGAAGCCCATTCAGTCACATAACTGGATGTTAGTTTTGGTTGCCAGGACGTAGCTCAGATTTGGGGATTTGGAGACAAAGAACCATGTGCTAAAATGGTCATTTCTTACTTTATTTTTGCTTTTCCCTGTTCCTTCACAATGACATGGAGGAAGCTCACGTGCAATTTCAGTCCACCATTCAAGATAATTGAGTCCCACAATTGGGCTGCTCCATCAATAGAGAACTAAAGGAGGGTACTGTAATTACCGCTAATCGGCGTGAGTTTATGGAAATAGATCCTCTCAAACTAACTTGATAACTTTTTTTGTTGAGGTTACAAGTTTGGTTGATGAAGATAATAATATTGATATAAAATACGTAACTTCGAGAGGGCATTTGACTTGACACCACAAGATATTTTGATTAAAAAACTAGAATGCTATAATATGAACATGGCACTGTAACGATGCTGGTTCTGGCGGGACCCAACTGAGAGTGCCAATTCAGGACAAATTGCTTAGAGCAGAGCAGTTACAGCCCAAGGCTGGGGTTCCTTTGCACACCAAGGCAAACCAAACCAGCCAAACAGAGAAGACTTTGGTCTCACCCCACTGGCTAACCACAAGTCACACAAACAATTCCCTTAGACACTCCAGTTTCCCAGTATCACCACCAGTGCCACTCGTTATGGGGACAAATGATTATGAAAACCAATATCCCAGTAAAAGAAAAAAGATTCTCTCGATCCCAAAGGACCAAGCCCCAGCCCCAGGTCAAGATACAAGTTAGATCTCATCCACAAATCACGCTATTGCCAATTCTTTAGGATCTAAAATCTAAAGGTTTATTTATAAAAGGAAAAAGATCTAGATGAGAGTGAGAATTCATTATATTGAATCAATTACATACAGTAATGGCAAAGTTCTTGGTTCAGGATTGTAGCAGTGGTGGAATAAACTTCAGGTTCAAATCAAGTCTCGACCCATCCCAGCTGGGGATGTTCCAATCAGTCCTTTGTTCAAAGCTTCAGTTTATAGCAAAGTCCCTCCAGAGGTAAGAAGCAGGACTGAAGACAAGATGGAGATGAGGCATCAGCCTTTTATAGTCTGCTCCAGGTGTAAGGACACCTCTTTGTTCTTACTGTGGAAAATTACAGCAAAATGGAGTCTGGAGTCACACGGGCAAGTCCCTGCATACTTTGCTGAGTCTCAAGGGATATCTGCCTTCTCTCAATGGGTCTATTGTATAGCTGATGGTCCTTAATGGGCCATCAAGCAGGCTAGGCAGAGCTAACACCAACTTGTCTGGGGTGTCACCCAGAAGCAGAGCACAAGTTTGAAATACAGATAGGATAGAGCCAATATTCATAACTTCAACTACAAAAATGATACATGCATACAGCTAGCATAATCATAACCAGCAAATCATAACCTTTGTACAATATTTCCTGCAAATATATAACAGTGGTTGCAACAGTGATCTATACGGTTACAGATTATGTTAATAACGTCATAGGCACATATTACATGGATTAAAAACAGGCTAACAAATAGGTCCCAAAATGTAATTATAAAAGGGGAATCGCCATCAATTGGGTCTGTTTCCAATGGGGCCCAACATGGATGTGGTGTTGGCCGGACGCTAATTAACATTTTTATTAGTGAGCTGGAGGAAAACATGAAATCATCTCTGATAAAGTTTGCAGATGACAAAGAATTGGGGGAGTGGTCAATACAGAAGAGGACAGGTCACTGATTCAGCGCGATCTGGATCGCTTAGTAAACTGGGCCCAAGCAAACAATGTGTGTTTTAATACAACTACATGTGAATGTATGCCTCTAGGAACAAAGAATGGAGGCCATATGTACAGCATGAGGGACTCTATCCTGGGAAGCAGTGATTCTGGAAGAGATTTCGGGGTCGTGGTGGATAATCAGCTGACCATGAGCTCCCAGTGTGATGCTGTGGCCAAAAGAGCTAATCATCAAATCGTAGGACTGGAAGGGACCTCGAGAGGTCATCTAGTCCTGTCCCCTGCACTCAAGGCAGGACTAAGTATTATCTAGACCATCCCTGAGAGGTGTTTGTCCAGCCTGCTCTTAAAAATCCCCAATGATGGAGATTCCACAACCTCCCCAGGCAATTTATTCCAGTGCTTAACCACCCTGACAGTTAGGAAGTTTTTCCTAATGTCCGACCTAAACCGCCCTTGCTGCAATTTAAGCCCATTGCTTCTGGTCCTATTCTCAGAGGTTAAGAACAACAATTTTTCTCCCTCTTCCTTGTAACAACCTTTTATGTACTTAAAAACTGTGATCATGTCCCCTCTCAGTCTTCTCCAAAGTAAACAAACCCATTTTTTTCAATCTTCCCTCATGGGTCATGTTTTCTAGGCCTTTAATCATTTCTGTTGCTCTTCTCTGGACTTTCTCCAATTTGTCCACATCTTTCCTGAAATGTGGCGCCCAGAACTGCACACACTACTCCAGCTGAGGCCTAATCAGTGTGGAGTAGAGCAGAAGAATTACTTCTCGTGTCTTGCTTACAATACCCGTGTTAATACATCCCAGAATGATACTTGCTTTTTTTGCAACAGTGTTACACAGTGGACTCATATTTAGCTTGTGATCCACTGTGACCCCCAGATCCCTTTCTGCAGTACTCCTTCCTAGGCAGTCATTTCCCATTTTGTATGTGTGCAACTGCTTGTTCCTTCCTCAGTGGAGTACTTTGCATTTGTCCGTGTTGAATTTCATCCTATTGACTTCAGACCATTTCTCCAGATCATTTTGAATTTTAATCCTCTCCTCCAAAGCACTTGCAACCCCTCCCCGGCGGGCAGGGGTCGGGCCTTGGGGAAGGGGTGTAGTGGGGGCGGGGCCTGGGGAGTAGCAGGGACCCGTGCATCCCCAGGGAAATGAGAAAGTCAGCGCCTTGAGTCCTGTGATGATTTGGTCTTAAAGTGCCAGTGAGAAGAGAGAGACACATGGACAGAGACATCCAACCCATGACGGGGAGACGTAGAAGACTGAACAAACATATTCCCACTCGCCTGGGTGGTAGAAAAATGATCCAATATAGCCCCTAAGAGCTGGGTGGGAGTAGCCTTCAGCGGCCCTGGAATCTGCATGGGGCATATCAAAAGGGCCTTCGAACAGATGCTTTTCCCCTGGGCGGGTTGGGTCCGGGGAGCACGGCTTTGGCCAGCCCGGAGGTCCTCCAGCCGAGGGGGGAGTGGGGGCTGGTTTAAAGACTTCCAAGTTACAGAGAACCCACCATTCGCACTAGTTTAAACCTGCAAGTGACCCATGCCCCACGCTGTAGAGGAAGGTGAAAAAAAAACCACCTGCCAATCTAACCTAGGCGAAAACTCCTTCCCAACCCCAAATATGGCGATCGAGTAGACCATGCACATGTGGGCAAGACCCAGCAGCCAGACACCTGGGAAAGAATTCTCT